CTTTTATTTAGGAGAAAACACCAGATAACCATCCTGATCGCGTGAGCAAAGTAATCACGCAGCGCAGACAGGATGCCTATTCTTAAAGTCTTGTGCTGTTTTATAAAGACACAAAGCCATATCATGGTTTTAATTTTAGTTCGTTGGCAAAATATAACGCTAGAGACCTTAATGTTAGGTTATACATTTTACATCTTTACATATGTGTTGGGAAAAGGGAGAAGAGAGAGTTCGGCAAAAGGCGGATTCGAACTCGGGTCGAGCGCATCAAAAGCTGCTTTCAAGCACTTAACGACCTACGCCACTGTAGCTATTTCGTAACGGGCGTCTTTTTGCTGAAAAGACAGGCACTTAGTGCAAATATACGCTCCGTTATAGAAAATGTTAAAAAAAATATATGTTTTCTTCCCCTCGCTTGGGCCCCAAGTGCACATGGCAAACTTGCAATGAATACATTTTATCAGACCGGCCCTCGCAGCCTCGAAACACTACCGGCCCACCGGGAAAACTCCCGACTCTCCCGATTGCCACTCCGCTACTGGCTACTCTGATGCCAGAACACCAATATCCCATGCAGTAACACCAGTGACGCAATGTAACACCAGTGACGCAATGTGAAACCAATGACATAACATAAGATTATTTCAAACAAATTTTTATCAATTTATTAGTAATATTTATTGTTGAGGCTTTTATGAAACTTTATATTGAGAAAAACGTTAGTGGTGTTATTGATTGTCACTGGTGTTATCGTCATGTCACTGGTGTTACCAGCAGCAACAGTAACACCAGTGACGATAACACCAGTGACAAATCTGCAGACAAGATAACATATCTAAGATGGCTACCACAGTAGCTCAAACCACACTTCTTAAATTGTAAATAAATCACTTAATCATGCAATTTGAACAATTATTTTAATCAAATTTCCTTTTCCCTTAATATAATCTGTAGAACACCAGTGAGACATCTTAAGTCCTCGCATGAAATTATCAAATTATTTATCAAATTGCTAAAAGATGAAGAGAGAGTGCAAACTCACCATGTGCTTTTTAAAACAGCCCCGCCTCCAAATTAACCTTTGACCCAGAAAGAAGCTGGCAAGGATGTTGCATTATTTCAAAGTAGTGGTTTTTATAAATTGTAACACCAGTGACATGAAATTGAGGGACAGCTATTCCCTGTAAATTATTTATAATATTTAGTTAATATTTTAGTTTTTTAAGTAGTCCACTAAATAAATATACTACTTTCCTTTGTATTATGACATTTAAAGGGGGAGAAAAATATATTTTTTAAATCAAAATACGTCACTAAACCACGACTCCTGACCAGAGGGACAAGCCAATTTCATGGTACTGACCGTGTTCTACAATATATTTAAAAAATTGTTTGCAATATAACTGTCTTACAAATGTTTTATTAACAATAAAACACTTCAATTAAAACAAAAAACATATATTTGGTGTCATTATCTGACATTTTTAAGTGCTTTTCCTGGTGGTTAAGTCCAGGACAGGAAAGCCACCATTTTCGTAGAATGACCCTTTCTTGATATGTTTTTGTTTTTATTTGTACACTTGACGCATTTGAAAATAGCCTAAATAATGTAACAAAACGAAAATAAACCTATTTGCGGTCCTACAATAAAGCCTATTATTATTAGGATTGTTTTTTAGGCTCTTTGGGTTTTTGTGTGTGTTTGTTTTAAAACGCCTAGATAGGCTGGACAAAAGTTAACCTATAGCTTTGAAAGTAAAAAAGAATATAGCCTACAGCCTGTATAAACGAGAGCTTTTGTTAGGATTTTTCATTGTGGCAGATAGCAGTTATATTTTTTGTAGCGTGTGGTGTGGTCAGGTGCGCGATTGTGACTGTCACTATAGACCTAGGACAGTGCTCCTCACTTTTTGCAGTTAAAAAAAATCACTTAATTTTCAAAGAATTGTATTATTATTATAGTTTTATGTATTTTTGATGTTTTTTCGTTGTTGTTTTATAAATGCTCTATGACAATTGTTAAAAAATGTTCAATCAAAACATCGCGTCTTTTCTTTTTTTTTTTTGTTGACTAATCGTTGCGCAGGACAAGACTTTGGTCGACTAAGGATTTCTTTGGTTGACTACAGCCCTAGTTGAAACCATTGTGTTTCTACGTATGCTGTACAGGTCAGGTATAAAGAATATTTTTGCTCTGGTGGCGAAAAATGTCCGCCCAATAGAAAAAAGTTTTGCTCAGGAAGAAAAAAAATTAGAGGGAACATTGAGTGGTACTGGCGGATTTCCGCGGGAGATTCGAGTGTGTCTTTGCGTCATTACGTCACATCTGTACACACTCATCTGTACAAAGAAGGAGTCTCGGCTAGTAGGCTATGTTGAGTGTGAGGATGCTGGAGGTGGAGATTTATTTTCTCACAGCACTTTATATAATTAAACTTATCAATTTGATGGCAGATCCAGAAAGGTTCAAACGCCAATCACCAGTGACAACAGATGCACCCGTTGTAAAATGCAAAAGACTTCATTCGGACTTTGGAGTGGCTACAGAAAAAAGAGACTGCAACCGGACACATGCGAAAACAAGAATACATATCGGAAGGACATTACATGAAGTCACGCAATGCTGACGTTGTTAATATTAACAATTTGAGAACATAGTATAATCTGCGTGATATGATAAGCGATTTTTAGATTTAATCAGCGTGATTTACTGCAATGTCAGAACCAGAACAAAAGTGGATGTTACTTACTTGTTCAGATGACATTTTCCGGTGAAAATTATTATGTTGGTGGTCATACTTCCAAAAAGAATAATCTGTGATTCTGAATGCCAGCGGCACGGTGAAGGACAGTTGCACACTCTCCTCAAACATTGTGTTCATCCGTGCTGTGCCGTGTCGAAGTACAAGTACAACTCACATAAAGTTGATAATTCCGTGAATGACTCCAATTCGAACAGAGATGGCGACAAAGAGGAAAAGCTGCGGACTGCAGCTTTAACTAAATTAAAATTTTACATTTAAATTATAAAGTCAATACATCATCAATCCTTCTCCCAAAACGTGTTTTGTTATACCCTGATTCATATGGTAGCCTAAGTCTATTATAAGTGTTTATATATATTTTAGGCCAAGTGGGATTGTTTTTCACGGGATGGCTAGGCTATGTGTGGATAGGTTAGTTGGAGCAGCTAAATCTCGAACCTTCAGCGAATCACCCATTTAAAAAAATGGCAAAAAGAAAACTTGACAGCTCGTTATAAAACAAGAATCAACATCGGCTTGGTTTTTCGGAGATGGCGAGAACTGAGGGAAAAGTGACGAGGAGATGGTGTTTTTATTACTCTACAGGTGAGTATTGTAGTTTATTGAACAGATAATTTGCCATTGTAGCTCTCCAACCGAGTTCATTGTAGAGAATTATCTATTGTGAAGGGTCATTTAATTGTGGTTGTTATAAAGCTGTGCTGGAATTTATTTTCAAGGAATTAGGCTACACTGTGTTGTCACCATTATGTTTTGTTTGTTTTAGTTTTCATGGACGTCCTTCTGTTTGTTTACGTTAGTCACATGTGTTACTAGGTCGGGGGTAGCCGTTGTGGGTTTAGAGAGAGCCATCGAAGAAATACACGAATAATCCAACAGATAAACGTAGAACAGGGGAAAATAGCGAAGAGAGTAAGGCGGGCAGCCTGCTAAAGAGTGCGAGTGTGGGCAGCTTGTAGTAATAACTTCAGCTATCCTGGCTGATAGGACAAACACATCCGGCGGAGGCTGATCCAAAGATGTGTCCTCCTGCAGACAAAAAGTCTGTAAAACCACGCGCTGTATCTTACATAGGCCTACTGTATCTTTAATGGAAAAAATATTTAAAACATCTGTCAGTGATACCTCCAGTTCTGTTTTTTAATTAATTCAGAACCGTGAATGTGTTGATTTCTAAGTAGTGCTTAAAATGTATGTGTGGAAAAATATGCATTCTTACATGTACTATGTCTATTTTTTTATTGCAAAAAAATATGAGGATAACACACATAAGGGCACTTTATGTAGACTCATTGCTGGTTCTTTAATGAGATGACTTCCATTAAAACATGAGGATAAATCTCAAAATAATCAGTGCAGTTTAGGGTTTGCAGCAACATTTTGACAATGAGAACAGCATGAAAACAACTAAATAAAAAAGGGTACAGTCTTCCATCAAACATCTCTGAATGTTACATACGTCACATGTGCCGAATAAATAAACCGCTTCAAAATAGGAACATGTTAATAAATACCAACAATAAAGACACACATTTAGCTAACACTGACAACAGCAGCAAACTTTCCTTTCATGAAAATAAAACAAGCGTAAAGCATATATAAAAGCATTTAGCTGGGTAAATAAATGGAGGGGACAACATCTACCTTAAACAAAACGTGTAGAAATAATTAGTACTTACATAGTTACGTTAAAAATATTACAGTACTTGTGCCCGATCTGCCATGACAAAGGCACAGATACATACCTGTATATATTTCTTTGAATCTGAGCCACAAGTATCATGGTCCATTCGGTCACATTCAACGAGATCTTCAGTTCAGAGCAAAAACTAATGCAAGTCGTATTATAGCACATGTGCTTCTTTGCCACAAATTTACACACAAAAATAAATAAATAAAATTAAAGCGTCTTTTTACTTTTTGGCTTGCCAATATTAATACGTATAAACAGACATATTAGTGGGGAAAACAGTATGAAATTATGTGAAATTAATCAAAACTACCAAGAGGGGAAAAAGTTGGATTGTCATCAACAAATAACAAATGACCTTTGCATGTGGTGGGTTGTAGAAATACAAAATAAAGATAGATAATAAAATGAAAACCATAGAAACCAAGAAAAATATGAACCATTGGTGATCTGGAAGGATGACCCAAGACCTTGTGCTTGAAACACTTTAAGCAAAATATTTGGGCAACTGTGAATGTGGATGAGAAATTGTTGATTTTTGAGCCAACAGGGCAAATGTGTGTGAATAAACAAGCCTATGTGAGAATTATTGCATGTGTGTGTATGTGAGATTACAAAGCTGATCTAGCTATGATTATTTTGGCTGTTGATCACGTTTCCGCCTGGAGGGGCGATATGTATCGAGTCCAGGATTGGCCGCAACACCTGACCAAATGGCCTGAGAGAGAAAGAGAGAGCATGAAGTTCTGTGAAAATAACACGGATCTTCTTACATAAATTTTCAGCATTGGAAATGTGATAGTTGAAAATGAGAGAACTTTACAGTTATACAATCACAAATGGGAGAATCTCACAAAAACATGGTCAAGGTCACATTTCACAAAAAAATCAAAAGAAAAAAAAATGCATGAGGAAAATTACGCGTATTTATAGAACCATTAAATGGATACTACACCCCAAACTAAACATTTGATGATTCAGGATTCAAAACGTACTTCTGTGAAATATGTGTATATATATATATATATATATATATATATATATATATAATTAAATTTTTTATGTGTCGATTTGTCGTTTTGGAATCTTTTGACTTAATTGTATGGACAAAAACATTATTCAGAATACTGTTAAAATCATACATCTTTGGAACAACATGAGGGTGTCTTTGAGATTTTTTTTATTGATTTCCCTTTTGACAATAAAGACAGATCTCAAGCATGTTTATTTATTCCCTGTATGTAGTACTAAATACTTTCCAATTAAGTGGAAATAAAAACAACCCTGAAAATCATGTCTGAGCGAGTTTATGTTTAGCATACTCACGTGGAGAGCACTTCAGAGGGCAGATCTGTGATATAGGAGGGAATTTTATTTCCAGTGAGAAACTGGGCCACCTCATTAGTGAACGTGTTACAGTTGTGTTCAAACAATCGGTACCTGTCACCACTGCAGAGAGAGAGATAGATACCAAAGCAGAAAAAGAGGCTTATGAATGCAAGCAATGCGTGTAAAGCACATGCTTGTACAGTACAAAAGACTTTAAACTGGAAGGAAGGAATTCCTCGTTTTATTTTCAGTAATAAACAATAGTCAAAAACACACACTCACCTATATGTTGTCTCTCCAAGTGAGGACAGATAATCCATAAAGATCTCCTCTGTCACCTCTGTATTTCCCAGTTCCACCACTGTGTCTGGAGGTCCGAGCATCGTCCCGCCCTGTAAACACACGCACACACTATGGCACATACTGCAGCCGCCCCAGAACAAATGCACCTCTTAAGAAATATTATGTGCCAAGGCCATTTAATCTCAACAACCCACAAATAAATGGACAAAAACAATGTGCGAAGATGTGCTGTTCAACGCTCCACATGGACCAGGAACATGTAAAGTGAGGGTTCACAAACAGCACAATATAGAGTACATTGATCGAGTGTATTTTCGGGGCGATGTTTAAGCGCTTGTCCTATCTTGAGTACGAGAAGCGTTGCAATGGGTTGTGATTTTACCGGTGGGCAACTAGAGATCCCAGCACCACCATAGAAAAATTCCTCTCCATAGACCACTATAGATGTGTGCCTGTGTTGACATAACGTAACAGGAAATGCAAATAGTTAAAACATGTTATAAAACATATCAGATAATAATAATAAACATTTATTTGTATAAAACTTTTCATACATGAAATGTAGATCAAAGTGCTTCACAAGCATAAAACATAAAAATGTAAAACAGATATTATATAATTATGTATTTAACTTGTTTGTAAATAAAGGATTTTCACCATAATCTGTTATAAGTAGAATATTAATTAAAGGTAATTCACATACCAAATCCCATCAAGCTGTTTTCCTGTAAGAAAGAATATGTTTTAGAAAATCATATACTTTAAGATAGCTATTAATTATATTAGATATGTTAAGATTTTATTATATTTATATTATTAAAATACAATAGTAGTACTGTTATGGTTTGACCCATTTAAAGAATAATTTTCAATCTGATGAACCTTAACAAACTAGCAAGGGTTTTCAAACTAAATTTTTTTAATTAAAATAAAAATAATTAGTTCATTATTAATCTATTAAATAGGTTAAATTAGATTAAAATTAAACGAATAAACAAAAAATAAATAATACATATAACAATACATTTCTACAGTGAGTATAATATAATGATGTAACTGAAACAAAATTTTAGCTTAATAATATCAATATGTGTTTATAAAAGACAGATGCCTTATAAATTTTAGGATGGTGGTCCCTGTCGGTACACGATCCGTTCCATCTGCACGATCCGTTCTACGCATGCGCGTAATTACGTAGTAGAAGACGTCACGGTTTTCCTACACTATCGGTACCACGCATGCGTGGATGAAACACTTTACGGCCAGGCGGCACAACTTGCGGCATACCGGTATTTGTGTAACATAGACATTCAATGTTTGTGTAACTTTAGTTGTATTTTGTTTAACATTTCACAGCGGGTCTATTTTGATGTTTTTAAATGTAGCTTACGCTGCATTACGATGTGTTTACGTGGTTGCCAATCCAAAATAATAAAGGAGTTGTGACTGTGAGTTATGAACATACATGATCAATTTCCCCCACTCTCCTTTGCGATTCATTGCTGTATGGTATTAGGCTTAACTGACTTAACTTGCCGTGTTTTGGTCTGAGGTCAGTATTGTCAGATGGTTTGGTGTCATTTTTTTTGATTAAAATTTAATTATTAAATTAAATAAATTATTAATTTATAATCGGCTATTAGTTACCTTTTAAGTTGAGTAATTTTGTATTAGTATGGGTCTATATAGGCTAATATATATCTATATAATCTAAATGCGGAAAATAATCTCTTTAATGTTGTTTACAAAGACAATAAAGGAACATAATATGCATTTCTGCCTAGACTATCTGCACTTACGTGAAAAAAGAACTACAAACAAGTCTGGGGAAACGTTATAGAGTATTTCAAACTGACAATGGAAATGACTTGAAAGAAGCATGTGTACACACAGAAGTGACATGGGACCAGTGGTGGACAGTAGTAAAGTACACTTTTTGAGTATCTTTATTTATCTTTATAAAAACACACACACACACACACACACACACACACACACACACACACACACACACACACACACACACACACACACACACACACACACACACACACACACACACACACACACACACACACACACACACACACACACACACACACACACACACACACACACACACACACACACACACACACACACACACACACACACACACACACACACACACACACACACACACACACACACACACACACACACACACACACACACACTTTAACAGCTCTCAGTCCACTTCAGACGAACACTCTTTCCGCTGTAACAGCTCAGTCACTTCAGACGAACACTCTTTCCGCTGTAACAGCTCTCAGTCCACTTCAGACGAACACTCTTTCCGCTGTAACAGCTCAGTCACTTCAGACGAACACTCTTTCCGCTGTAACAGCTCTCAGTCCACTTCAGACGAACACTCTTTCCGCTGTAACAGCTCTCAGTCCACTTCAGACGAACACTCTTTCCGCTGTAACAGCTCTCAGTCACTTCAGACGAACACTCTTTCCGCTGTAACAGCTCAGTCACTTCAGACGAACACTCTTTCCGCTGTAACAGCTCAGTCCACTTCAGACGAACACTCTTTCCGCTGTAACAGCTCAGTCACTTCAGACGAACACTCTTTCCGCTGTAACAGCTCAGTCCACTTCAGACGAACACTCTTTCCGCTGTAACAGCTCTCAGTCCACTTCAGACGAACACTCTTTCCGCTGTAACAGCTCTCAGTCCACTTCAGACGAACACTCTTTCCGCTGTAACAGCTCTCAGTCCACTTCAGACGAACACTCTTTCCGCTGTAACAGCTCAGTCCACTTCAGACGAACACTCTTTCCGCTGTAACAGCTCTCAGTCCACTTCAGACGAACACTCTTTCCGCTGTAACAGCTCTCAGTCACTTCAGACGAACACTCTTTCCGCTGTAACAGCTCTCAGTCACTACAGACGAACACTCTTTCCGCTGTAACAGCTCAGTCCACTTCAGACGAACACTCTTTCCGCTGTAACAGCTCAGTCCACTTCAGACGAACACTCTTTCCGCTGTAACAGCTCTCAGTCCACTTCAGACGAACACTCTTTCCGCTGTAACAGCTCTCAGTCCACTTCAGACGAACACTCTTTCCGCTGTAACAGCTCAGTCACTTCAGACGAACACTCTTTCCGCTGTAACAGCTCAGTCCACTTCAGACGAACACTCTTTCCGCTGTAACAGCTCTCAGTCCACTTCAGACGAACACTCTTTCCGCTGTAACAGCTCTCAGTCCACTTCAGACGAACACTCTTTCCGCTGTAACAGCTCTCAGTCCACTTCAGACGAACACTCTTTCCGCTGTAACAGCTCTCAGTCCACTTCAGACGAACACTCTTTCCGCTGTAACAGCTCTCAGTCCACTTCAGACGAACACTCTTTCCGCTGTAACAGCTCTCAGTCCACTACAGACGAACACTCTTTCCGCTGTAACAGCTCAGTCACTTCAGACGAACACTCTTTCCGCTGTAACAGCTCTCAGTCCACTTCAGACGAACACTCTTTCCGCTGTAACAGCTCTGTTCATTTAAACGAACACTCTTTCCGCTGTAACACACACACACACACACACACACACACACACACACACACACACTAACAAAATGTATAGGGGTGACTGTGCACCCCAACTCCAGCATTTACTCTCAGGTTGAGGGTGTCTTTGCAAATAATCATGAAGGTTTCCATGTCCTGAATGTTTTCAAAAATGAACGTGAAAGGCTCCATGGCATAGCACTTCCTCGACTCCATCAGCACCCTCCACGCTTTCATTTGGTCATCATGATCCATCAACATGTATGATGGTTCTTGCACCTGGCCAGTGAAAAGCCCAATACTGTTCCTCACGATGTATTCTGCCTGGTACATATGTTTCAATGTGAGGGGCAGCTCCTCCACTTCTACCTGTTCCTCCTATGATAAAGTAAAATACCATAAATTAAGACTACAACATAAAATGTTTTGGTCTTTCAAACGGGGCCTAAAGACATCTTTTCAGCAAAAAAATTAACAAATGTCTCTTGGAGATGGCTGCAATGTAACTAAGGGTGAAAGATTGACAACGTTTACATGCACCCTCATAATGCGATTATAATGGGATTTTAGCAATATTGCAATTATATTTTACCTCATGTAAACACAATACTTAAAGCAACACTATGTAACATTTTTACCTTAAAATAATGTTTCCAAAATCTTATCAGTGGTTCATCAAGTCATAACAGGGTGAAAGGCACTTCTGCCATTGCCTGACGGGGTCTGTATCGCTTTTACTGGCACTACGGAACTTCGGGGTTCGGGTAGTAACTTGGCTTGCTACGGTAGTCGGTGTTACCGGTGTTAATTTAACATTTAGAATGCGTACGTGAAAATGGTTGTCTGGTTAGTTTGGCCATACCTTGACTATTTGGGGTCGAGAAATCCTATAAATAGGTGGTAGGGTGCCTGCCATCAGCTGTTCTGCCTCCTCTGTCCAGAAGGCAAAGCGCTGCCCGAAGTTCTGCCCATGCCTATTCAAAAGTATGGTACTTTTAATGTAGCATAATTGTAAAGCAGACCAATGTTTTACTGCTTGAAATATATGCCCTACCTTGCGATCGAGAATTTCTCCAGAATCTGGAGACACCACCACTTCCGAATAGATGGTATGTCAGTCTGTAATACACATGTAATATTGGAGTCTTGCATTGTTTGTTTTTTAACATTCTTTGATACATATACATTCCATGAATTACAACTTACATCCAAAAAGTGAAACATGGCACCAGTACAGATGCAGAGGGCATACTGTTAAAGAGAAAAATAATTACTATGGAGATTTAGGACAAACAGGAAAAATTGAGTAGAAATTGTATAAGTTTACCATAAGCATGAATATCCCACAGCTCTGTCCATCTGACTGAACTGGAAATGGCTGAAAAGTAATATACAGTTACTCAGATGTAATGTTGACAACCATATATAGTGTCCGCTGAGCAAAATGAAATGGCAAATTTACATAGTAAGTAAAGTTACATCAAAATCTTTGCCCGTCTTCTCCACCCACGGTCCATTAGCCACTGCTCCTGCAAGTTGTCTGGAAAAACATTATGCAAAACTGAATCCATAGAACAAGGTTTTTTCCTTAATCCTAAAGCCAGAGAACAAGGCTTTTACTCAATCCTAAAGCCAGAGAACAAGGTTTTTACTCAATCCTAAAGCCAGAGAACAAGGCTTTTACTCAATCCTAAAGCCAGAGAACAAGGCTTTTACTCAATCCTAAAGCCAGAGAACAAGGCTTTTACTCAATCCTAAAGCCAGAGAACAAGGCTTTTACTCAATCCTAAAGCCAGAGAACAAGGCTTTTACTCAATCCTAAAGCCAGAGAACAAGGCTTTTACTCAATCCTAAAGCCAAAGAACAAGGCTTTTAATCAAACCTAAAGCCAGAGAACAAGGCTTTTACTCAATCCTAAAGCCAAAGAACAAGGCTTTTAATCAAACCTAAAGCCAGAGAACAAGGTTTTTACTCAATCCTAAAGCCAGAGAACAAGGCTTTTACTCAATCCTAAAGCCAGAGAACAAGGCTTTTAATCAAACCTAAAGCCAGAGAACAAGGCTTTGCCTGAACAGGATATCAGTCCATTTCACTCAGTTTGATCTGTATTTGTTAAGGCTGTTACACAATGTCATCAGATTGAAGATTTTCAGAGTGCTGTTCAGGCTTAACTGGATGA